CATATTTACCACGTGTATACCAAGTACAGTATGTGTCTTGTTTGTTACCACATAATACCACATTTTTCCGTAGGTGCTACACATTTACCATGTACATATCATTAGTATGTACAGTTATGTGTCTTGTTAGTTACCATATACGGATACTGTACGTGCCTGTTTATACCCACTTGTCCCTAAATACTACATATTTACCATGTATATACATTAGTAAGTGCAGTAAAGTATCTAATTAGTTACCATGTATGGGCACTACCTGTAAGTACCCACACTTGTCTGTATGTACAAAATAATTACCATGCATGTACAACTGTTAAGTACAGCCGTGTTTCTTATTTGTTACCATGTACATACACTTCAGGTAAGTACCTTGTGTTACCACTCATTTGCTTGTAGGTACAAGATATTTGCCATGTGTGTACCAGGGAAGTACACGTACTATAAAATAAAGTGCTACCAAAAATGTCTCATGGTTTCCCCAAAAATATTATCAGCAAAAATAATTGACTTTTAAATACCGACCAGATACAATACTGATTTTGGCGTTTTGGAACCAAACTCTTCATATATATACATATATATATATATATATATACTTTTCTTTACATTATCACTCACTGTGCATATTGTATATTCTGCCAGAATCCATCAAAAGGATTTGGCACTTAAACTGATGCACATTGATTTCAAATAGACAGATGCACATTGATTAGATAAACAGCCTACTTGACATACATGACCAAATAAAGACTCAAATAAATATCAGATGTGAAAATCTCAAACATATATTGCACATTCAACAAGGTGTGAGTGTATCAGAGACGAATGTTGTAAACCAAAGCGTGATCTCAAATAAGGTCTGTCTGCACTTCAGTAGTGAGAGCTTCATGTCTCTGTCATAGTGACGGGGAGAGAAAGAGCAGTTCTGTCCAGTTGTGATTTAATCTCAGGTGTTGGACAGCATGCAAGACAGACCATTATTTCTGATGAAAGGTATGGTCCAGCTGCATTGAGAAGAGATTTGGAGATAACAGTATGGGATCAATCACCGATCCCCGGGGGACCCCTGAGTAGGTTGGCTACTGTTTTCATACAGTATATGGCCGGTATAGCGATATCCACCTCACTGTGGGAGGTAGACAAAACTAATAACCAACAACTGTTGTTTCCACATGAAACCCAATAGCAGAATAATTTGCGTTTCTGTTGTCATTTCCACTAGATATATTTGCATAATTTAATGTGTTCCACCTCTTTTTGTAACACCTAAACATCACTGTCAGTTTCTCTCCACTGTTCACATGGAACATCTGTCAACAGATTCGTTTTGGCTTAACAAACGTGGGGAAAGTGTAAAATAACCAGCTTGTGCTACGTGAGCTGTCCGAGAACAGCTCTGTTGTCGATTAGCGTCTTGTTTGACAAAGAGACATATGCCAGACCTAGACTTTATTGCTTCAAGTTGCAACCTGCAATCTGTCAGGATGAAATGGCATAAAGCCAGTGGTTTGCTCAAGATAGAGGTTAGACAATGCAGTTCGCACTCGGAAACTTGATTTGTTGTGCTTAAAAAAATATAGCAATAATAATCCGAGGTCAACACATCGGAGGACAGAGTTGGATTTCTGCCACTTCTCTCCTTCTGTTTTGTATTCTTTGTAAAACTACTTAAAAACAGTTGCCTTTCTTTTAGCAAATTACCTGTAGGATTATTTTGATAATAAATTAATCTAAATATTTATTTCAGTTAATAGATTATTCATATTATATATATATATATATATATATATATATATATATATCCAGCAAATTTTCACCCCAAGCCTTATAGTTTTT